GACTTGCCAGCACTGCGATTTAAAAAAGTTATTCATTTTCATTCTAAAGAGAGAGAAACTCGTCTATACTAGAAAAAAAAACTAAAACACTAAAAAAAAATTCTAGCGTAGGAACCCTGTCAACGGCGAGTGAAATCAACGGATTTCCCCCAGTAAGGTGGATCTACTCTTTCAAGTTCAATTAGTTCATTCCTCTTTGCATGAAATTCGAGGAAAAGGCGCGAATTTGTTTGTGAAAATCGGGGAAGATAATGCTGAATATCGTTTTAAGAGGAGACACATATATATAAGAAGAGGAATGCATATAAAAAAAGGTAGAGAAGAATGTGTAAGGTAGGAATAGGAGATAGACCTAAGGGATTCTCTCTTTTCAATAATTCGCACCATTCTGTACAGTAAAGAGATGGATTTGGGAGTTCTTACAGAGTTCCGCAAAATTCATGGACATGTTATCCATAACCTCCAAAAATAAATAAATAAATGCATGGAGCTGCTCGCCCGGATATACGCCTGTCGATGTCCTTCCACTTTATATTCAATAGAGTCCATATTTACAGCAATAAAATCATTTTAAAAAAATACAAATAATAAAAATACAAATAAAATAAAATAAAAAACACATTGTAAGTCAATTCAGTTGTGGCCTGCTTTTACTGAAGAGAATCTTCATTTTCTCACATTCTAGATTAAAACAGTTACACTCTGAATTTTAATCATCATATTTATTTTCTTAGGGTGGATTTTTGAACAGAGAACTATCCGATAATGCTGCTTTATTTCCAGGAAATATCACGTATTTTCCCTGAAATAAAGCTGCAGTGTCGGTTAGTTCCCTGTTCAAAAATCCACCCTCAAACTTTTTTTTCTTCCTTATCATGAATGGGGAATGTTTCAGATGTTGAAACGTCTAATGGTTGGGATCAAGTGGTTCACCTTTGGAGGAAGCGTTTCCATTAAATAAAAAAATTGTTTTTGCACGAAATTAGTCAAAATCCATTATCACAGCGAACTGCTAGCAGGAAATTAAAAGACTACAAGCCGTCAAGAAGTGGCTCGCAAACTAGATATTAGATGGAGTCCACACAGGAGTCGGCTCGAATGGCTCCCCAATTCACCCCGATTGGCTCCACATCGCTGAAGACGTCGGCTTTTCTGCATTCCTTCCCGCTAGAGCTTCCCCATTACCCTCAGGGCATCGAACTTGTGAACTCCATGCAGTCCAATATCATCAGTGATGAGTCTTGAATTCCAGACGCTGGCAGAAGACGGTTCTTTTTTTTTTCAAAAGTACTTTGAAAATAATGTTCACGCAATATGCAATCCATTCTCATCATCCCCATATATTATTCAGGACTTTCCGCTGCTCCTTTTTTGTCTTGAGCTTTTTTTTATTCGTCTCATCCAATGTCAAGGATTTCATTCCTCCAATTTTGGTTTGTGGTCATCTCTGTAGACTTAGGTTGGCCATAATTATTATATTTGAATAATTATCTGAGAGAAACTCAACTTTTTTTATTATTATCCTAGTTCTCGTTTCCTGGCATGTTTCAGTTTCAGTCTCGGTTTTAGTCCCTAACAAATAACATTACCATCTCCATCTCAGTTAATAGTAGGGCTGTATCGATTGGCTACCATCGTTATCGGCCGCCAATGTTGCACTATCGGCACCATCGGCCAACGGCCTATGGCGCCGGTGCCGGTGCCAGTGCCCAAATGACGGGCAAAGCGAAAAAAATAATGTGAGGATGTGAACGCGGCAAGGCGCCGGCCCTCCTGTCTCACTGGGAGCCACTCCTGCCAGCCTCTCCCAGACAAAAATATCGATCGAATTATATTCCAGCCGGATTATAGGAACCGGCATAGGAAAGTAGCAATAAAGAAGTGAAATAATTGCATCTCCATTTACATTATGCTTTTGCAAGGGACGTGTCACTAAACGCTCTCAACAGCTGCAATGTGTAACAAGCTAACCACTGACAGCCTTAAAGAGAGACAGACAGGCTGGACATGGCCAAAAGTGTTCTCATCGTTTCACGGAAGCCTACTGATAAGTATCGCATAGCTTCCAATTAGGCCTATTTGAACTTATAGGCGATTTCTTCTACAGGCCACAATCGGTCCCGGTGTCGTATGATATTTTTCCCCCCGTAATATTTTTCCCCATCTCCATTAATGGAAATTAAGGAACTTCGCCTCGTTCCTCGGCGGCTATTTCTTCCGTGCCGTTTAGTGTTCCTTTTGCGCCTCCATCTGCTTCGCTAACGTCTAAGCCAGTGTCGACTCCTCAGGGTGATCTTGAAAGCCACATCAAAGATTCCTGGCAACGGAGGTAAAAGGCAAATGAAGGGCAGCTGACATGAAGGCAGGGAGGAAGAAACATCGTCCTCTGCAGGAGGATGTTCTGCTATGATATCGTTTGGTCAGTTTCTGACGGTAAAGATTATATTCTTTTTCGGCAATCGACAAACATACAATTCTACTTTTTAAAAGGAACTCCCTTCATTTCCATTAAGGGAGGTGGGGAAAAATATTACGGGGGGAAAAATATCATACGACACCGGCACCGGCACTGGCACTGGCCGATTGTTATGAGGAAAAAAATGGCCATCGGTACAGCCCTAGTTAATAGTTTTGCTGATATTTTGTATAATTTCACCAATCTTGGGTTTTCAAACAGTTTAGCTAATTGAAAGGATCGAGAAGAAACGCAATATAACAAATGCATATACAGAGTGGGGTAAAAGTCATTATACAGTTGTTGAATATAGAACATAGTCTAATTTCTAACGTCATATTGACCGTTGTTTAAAAGGAAAACACAACAGAAAAATGATTGTGTAATATCAGAAGCTGCCAGCTTCATCCAGCAGTATTAATCTGAAACAAAGAGGGCCAAATTAGCAAAACAGCTTCATTCAGTGTACAAAAGCTGTGTAGTAACTTTTGTTCCAACATGTATAAGTCAGATAAGAAATACATTAGACACGTGATGGGTTCATCTCTCAAAGCAATTGACGAAGATAGGTTAGTTCTGGTTTTCACGCGACAATGTTTGACTATCAAGAAAGTAACATTTGAGGACGTATTCTTTAGCTGTTGTATGCATGCAAGCTTCTCTTTCAGCCTCGAAAACCACCCGAGTTGTACAGAAACTGTGTTTCCCTCTCCGAATGCTTTCTACATTTCATCGACGCAACTGTCACGTATCCTAAATTGCAAAGGAGAGGAGCAGCATGATACTTGCAAGATGAATGCAGTGCCTTGACCAGAGCTTTTTTCATGTCAACGGTAACTGGAATTCACGTGTGCTCCTCTTCTAAACATTCAAGTGAAAAAATTATAGTTTTGCAAATTTTGAATTTGGATTGATTTTAGAGTACTACCCTGCAGTTGCGAGCCAAGGGTCACCTACAGAGACTGTTATTCGCACTTGAAAATGCAAACGATTGCAAGGACAGACAAAACACCGCAGCCTCATACTCTGTATTCCGCACCAAAACAAGATGTTCTTGGACGTGTTTTGGTTCATATGCTTCCCACAAATGGTTGGGGTGCTATTGTTTGATTCCTGTGGATTTCTTGAAGAAAAACAGGCACCTATAGAGTGGAGGATAAAGGGGTTACTTCTGAATTTGTGGAATATTTTTGAATGAACAGTGATCATTAATAAATTTTATCCCAGAGGAAATGAGAACAGAATACTGCCGAAGTAAATGAATTTGACTATTGTTAATTTTTCAAATAATCCACACCTAGGTGTGAGGCAATAAAATTTATCAGATAAATTTATTTCACTCACAAATTTAGAGTACTACTTTTCTAATGCACTATTGGCAACAGAACAAAAGGTTGAAAGGAACAATTGTAGGACACATCAGTATTGCAATAGAATATGCATGACATATTTTTATTTTAAAAATTCCTTCATTCACGATTGGTCCAAAACCCAGAGACAAGGTGGACAAAAAGAAAGCATGAAACTGGCCCATGAGACAAAGAGGCACACATCGACTTCCAGGGAATGGCACAACATTGTCACCAAGTCTGGGGCTATTTATCACATACCAGGTAGGTACATTGATCGCAAATGCTTCATAGGCAACCATATAGTGCCTTCTGCAGCAGAAACAACCTTCTGAATGGACATATGCCATGAGAAACTTTGGTACCAGGATTCCCCTCTTGCTCATTCAAGCTTTAACTGCACAAGGTGCTGTTTACATACCCAAACTACAATGTGTTTATCATGATTCATGTATACATTTTTTTTTAAAGAGTATGCTGTACATTCATCACATCAATTGGCAGGGGAGAAAAGCATCTCACTTCAAGAATCATGCAAGCTAAAAATTCATTTGGAAAAGATTTTCCTCCAACTTACTACAAGCCAAGCAGTATTTTCAGGGCTTTGTCACCTTATTTGATGTAAGTATCATCTTGAGCAAAGGCAAAAAAAAAAGAAATCAGGCCTTTTCCCTATCTCACCAAATGCCTAGGCCTTGGAAGAAAGACAATTGCAAAAGTAACAAAGGAAAGTAAAAAGGCACGATCTCACAAACTGACATTTAGAGCACCAATGTTATGACATAATGGAACACATCACACATGAGAATGCAAACTGAGGAGGGAAGGCTTTTCATGTGGTCATTCATCCCACAGGCACTGCTGCTTCTGGAAAACTCCATATGTAAAAGCATAGGTTCGCTTGCAAGTTCGAATTCCACATCGGTAGCTTTGAACCTTTCCTGAACTGTCTTTGCCCTGACAGTACTTGAGTCCACATGGATACCATGGAATTTGAACATAGAAATGGCATACACAGGGCTGGCTCCAGTCTTTAACTCCATCACATCTTGGTGGAGTCTCATTCAGAAAGTGGTTTAAAACAGTGGGCATCTCCAGCATCTCATTGTGGGCTGAAATAGAGGAGAATTTAAAAAGACTTTTACATTCTTTTGCTGGAAGAGTTAGCCTGTACCAAGTTGAATGCATATGAACTTTCACTGACCTCTTTGCTCCTGCCAACCAATCCAGTCCTGTTCTCTGAGATACGTTGAATGCTGAGCTTCACTGCAAAAGTCCTCTAGCAAAGGTGAGAGCATTCCTCCTTCAGATGGTGACATCTGGAGGTTGAAGTCAAAAGCCTCTTTTCCCCTATCCTCTTCTGGTACCCTCAATGCACCTGGATTTTTCTGCACATTCAAGATGAGCAGAAACATATTAGTTTTTCAATAACCCCAGGCCTTCACTCCCGTGGAATTCAAATGACAACTGAAACAATGTTCTGTGATTCATAATGCTAAGAAACAGGAAATTCCAATTCAAATCAACATCCTTTTCAACAGAACATGCTCTACTGAGACACAATGCACATTTACCTGTCTTAATTTTGATATAGCTTCTGATGGAATCAAATCAGATGTTTGATCAGCTAGGATGAAACAAAGGACTTGATATTGGTTTTGACCCCTCTCTTCCTCTCCCAGTACTAATGCACGTAGCACAAGAACCTCCTAAAAAATAAAGGGACATGTCAAATGTTAGATATAATGACTTAATGCAACCAAGACTATAATACTTCCAAGTTTCAAGGAACCAACATACATTTGTGAAATCTGAGAGTTGTGTTACTAGAGTTCCATCCGATCGTTGAAATTCCAGAATAACGATGTCCTTAGTAACATTAGCATAGAGAGTTTCCTCCACGACATCACCTCCCTGAAAGATGAAATGTAAAATATTACACATATTGAGTCAGTTCAAGAACTGACACTGGTGCATTAGGCTTCTAAATAACAAGACTCCAGAGTTTGATACCAACCTGATTTTTCACACTGATCACCAAATCCCCGAGAGAACACGTAAAAAAGTTGAATAAGGTGAAGGCATTCAGTATCAAGACGAGAAGTCTGACAAGTCGGTGCTGTAGAATGCAAACAACTCCACTGAAATGTGGCCATGTCAACTGCCACATTTTTTAAATTCATTGAAAACCTTTAGCTCCTTCAATGCGTTATAACCCATGGCTATCATACACTGCCATTTCAGGTGGCAAAAGTCTGACACGGGCTATTGGACCCATATACAATTAAGACATCTCTATGCCAATCGATAGCTGCTTCTATCGACAGTGTATAAACCACTTCCACATATTAACACAAAAAACAGAGGGCAAATACTTTTAATGCTCTTTACATGGTTACCCTCTTCGTGAGTAGTGCAACCCAAGTGCAGGCAAGCAGGCGCACCGTGATGACGTCACGTTCTTCAGGAATACGAGAAGTGATGCCGTATCTGAATTTCCTGAATCCCAGATACATACTTGACTTTCACTGATCTTCATTGCTTAGAATAGTCGTTTTTTACATGTAAAATATCCCAACCTTCATCAACGAACTTTAGAGAAACATGCCCGAGAAATGGTCCCGTGAATGAAATTGAAGAATAATATGACAATGTCTAGGTGTCTGTAAATGCCGGTCTTATGTTTGGCTCCTCATTCCGCTTTCGCTGCACGGACAAGGATTCCACAAGCCTTCTGGTCAACTTTCGCCTTCAGTAATTTCTGCGTGAGTTAAGCCAGACCTAGACTAAGTATCTTTGCTCTCGCAGCAAATAGGCTAGATTGGTTCGCCGGTTGGCTAGTTTGTCAGCCAAAGGTATTATGCTGCCTGGTAGGTCCACTCAATGCATACTTAGTACTTTTTGGTCGCTCTTGAGGGATGTTTTTCTGTTATTATTCATTATTTCTCATTTCAAGAAAACAAGTGCTTAGGTTCAAAACGTTATGCTTGTTTTCATAGGCGTTGAATGGGGATTTCTGGTGATAAATTAGATGTAACTTTATGGCGTAACGTATAACGTTAGGCTGCTTCGGCCTAGGACGAAATATTACATTTGAGATTCAGAAGGCATTGGCTCTTTAATTAGGTCGCATAGATTGTGACCAGGCAAGGAGACATCATCGACAGCCTCAGTGAGTGTACGAAGTGCAAGAAAAAGGGCAGAAGCTCCTGCTCTTGTTATAGGTTTCCTATGCTCTTGGGCTCTGGCTCCTGTATCAAAACTGCCTCCTCCATATCCCTTCAACCTTGTTCCTCATCTGGGTAGCCCTACTGTGTTTCCCTGCACCCTGTGTCCTCTGCAGATGCTGCATATGGTTCTCTGACTTACATCTTATAAAGCAGTAATTTCTCTTTAAAGTAGAAAAGCATAGCAGATGTAGAACTCAAGGCAAGTGACTTGAATAATGCAATAGCAATTGGGCTACTGTGCCTCACCCTTTTATGGAATCACTCTACAGAATCTATAGTGATTTTTATTTAACCTGAAATATTGGCTGGTCATTTCTTATACCTGCATTCTTTTTTTCTTTTTTTAACATCATTAGTGCTCTGATGCATCAAATCTTACATAACTCATCTCATAATGTTTAACAATGTTTCAATCAACAGTAAATTCTATCACAGTGGCTGACTAGGCATTTCTATAAAATGAAACTATGACACTAACTGAAATTGAAATTAGGGAGACAAAAAAAGGAAACTATGTGCAATATATCACTTAGGACTGGATGAAATAATTACACAAATCAGACTCTCCTCCAGGGATCACCAAATGAAGACAGATGACCTCTCTGACTAATGATTTGTTTAAAACCCTCCTTCTCTTTCACCCCCTCACTCTTTATATGACAGACATGCTGAAGTTATGAAGTCACTCTCCTCTGTCTTTCCCAAATATGCATGCCATTCCAGAACAAGCAGAGAGCCTGATAGTCTATTTTGACAACTGGCACCTGCAAAATCCTGTTTAAGTAAATGGGGCATCCTCCAGGTACCTAAATCCTAAATAACTCTTAACCCAGTAAATGATAGGGTCTATTATCACTATAAAATGGGTCTAACGGTTGCCCCAACCTAATTTCACCTATTAGAACATCATGATGAGGTCTCACCTCTTCTCTTGTGGCTGCCATTGCTTCTTTTAACTAACAAATAATAAAAAGCAAAACAGGTGGAACCTTGGCCCCCCAACCAGGACTATGGGACATCTTCCCATTGTCTAACATTAGCTTAGTGTGGGACTTGCACTCTGCCAGGAGGGTTCCACTGGGGCTGGTGAAACCCCCAGCACATGCCCACTGCCAGGGAGTGGCCCCAGCCCCCTATTTAGCTCCTTTTTAAATAAAATAAGAAAATTCACCCCCTTCCCTTCTGCAACAGGTAACACTTCACTTGGCACACATCTTTATATCTTTCTGTAAACTTGCTAATCTCAAAAATATGTCATGCTTATATGCTTATGCTAATTAAATAAGTCCAACTGTTTGAAGAAGAAAAAGACAATTTTTCTACAGAGATCTCTATAAATATCTCTCTACTCAAGTTATACTTGTCTTGAAGATGGTTACCTCATTGACTTTATTTTTATTATAAATAGTTATTTGTGCATCACACATGCAATTTTTTCAATCTTATTAATTTTATTTTTGTGCAGGGGAATCAGAGATCATCCTGGCATACTATGGCAACAAGAATCAATGTTTCAAGGACCATTGGTGATGTTGATCCGGGTGCACATCCTGTCCTTATTATTGGCCAGTTGCCACATTTGTCACTTGTCCCATGGAATGTCATATCCAAGAAGTTTGGAAATAGGATCACCTCTGGACACTTTGAAGATGCCCTTGCTTCATTGAATCCAAATCCCACAGATTCTTGTCCTCTCTATCTACAGGCTGCTACAGTTGCTGCACTCCCCAGCAAATGCAGTCGCCACAACACACCTTCTCGAGGCCACTCAATAAGCAAGATTGTGAAGAGTAGCTCCATTAGCTCTGAGGGTGACATCTTAATTGCTTGTGAATACAGAGATGTCTTTGCTTCTCTTTGTGCAGTAGCCAGAGTTTTCCCATTGTATTCCAGGAGGACCAGCCAGATGGATAAGAATCAAAAAGTAGTCAATTTGGAATTTTATCTTGTTGGTGACTCTAAAAAGGTATCATTATCAGAGGAAGATGTTAATTGCTTGAATGCAGCAGCTGAGGCTGTGCAACTCTCTGCCAGGATAGTTGACACCCCGTGCAATGAAATGAATACTGATACTTTTTTGACAGAAATTGAAGCAGTTGGAAAGGCTTTGAATATCATACCCACCATTATCCGAGGAGATAAGTTGCAGGAACAAGGATTTGGAGGGATATTTGGTGTTGGGAAGGCTGCCATTCATCCTCCAGCTCTAGCTGTTCTCAGTCATATTGTACCAAATGCCACCCAAACTATCGCATGGGTAGGGAAAGGCATTGTGTATGACACTGGTGGATTGAGCATCAAAGCAAAGACCTCCATGGTGGGCATGAAGCGAGATTGTGGTGGAGCTGCAGGAGTTCTAGGAGCCTTTTATTTGGCCATAAAACAAGGCTTTTCACAAAATCTTCATGCTGTCTTCTGCTTGGCTGAGAATGCTGTTGGTCCTATAGCAACAAGGCCTGATGATATTCATACATTGTACTCTGGAAGGACAGTAGAGATCAATAACACAGATGCAGAAGGTCGACTTGTGCTGGCTGATGGTGTAGCTTATGCTGAGAAGGACTTGAAGGCCAACATCATTCTTGACATGGCCACACTCACTGGTGCTCAGGGAGTAGCCACTGGGAAGTACCATGGAGCTGTATTAACTAACAAAGAGTCCTGGGAGCAATGGACCATGAGAGCTGGTCAATTGTCTGGTGACTTAGTTTTCCCTATACCATACACTCCAGAGTTGCATTTTTCTGAGTTCTCCTCTTCAGTTGCTGACATGAAGAATTCTGTGGCTGACAGAAGCAATGCTCAGTCATCTTGTGCTGGGCTTTTTATTGCAGCCCACTTGAGGATGACAACACCTTTATCCTGGATTCATGTTGATATGGCATCACCAGTTCACTGTGGTGAAAGGGCAACTGGATATGGTGTGGCTTTGCTGAATAGTCTGTTTGGTTATTGTTCACAGAGTCCAATGCTCCAATTGCTATCTCCAGTCACAGCTGAAAATGGTGTAGATGGTGAACCTATCTTAGATGGCAGCTTAGAGTGCTCATCAAGTAAGAGAGCTAAGATTGGACCCTGAGTTGCCTGTGCAAGATTTTGTCCTTGAGGTCTGTCACATATGTAGAGCCCACTTTAAAGGGGGAATCTTCTATACAGTGAAGAATGGACTGATTACATTTGAAGAGGAGAAGCAAATTATTTCCTCACTGTTCAATCGATCCAGGGAATGATTTTTTTATTTGCAATGATTGTAATCTAATGACTGTCTTGTATTTCATGTGCTTTGCATTCAGAGTGATCATTTTGAACTGCAGATTCCATTGTAATTCTTTGAGAATGAAACTAAATGGCAATTGCTATTCAAATTCATGGTATGACATGTATTTTTATTCCACATATTTTTTTTGCCCAATAGACTATTGGGCATTTTACTGGGAAATTCATTACTTTGGACATGTGCATAAAGAAAAATGCACTCTTTTTAACCCTCATCAGGGCAAGCTTTTTTACAACCTATTCCGGGCAAGGTGAGTCTGTCAGACTCATGTAAAATAAGGCTGTTTGCTGCGGTTACGGTATGTATTCTTATAAATAACAGTACTGTAACTAAAATAACACAGACAATTTATTCAATGGTCCTGATAATTTAAAAAAATAATGACAGTGATAGACCGAAATATGTCGAGTGAGTCCAGCGGACTCACCTTGCCCGGATTAGGGTTAAGAAGCAGTTTTTCTCAAAAAAATATTCCTCTCTGAGCCTGACCAACTTGGATGAAAGCAAAATGATGCTAAAAGTGTCTGTCTATGCATGTAGGCCTGTCTGCATTGGTACTCTTTTTTTTTTTTTTTTTTTTTTTCATTTGTAGGACCAGTGCAGGCAAAGCAGCAGAATATATATTGCTATTAAGTCAGTCTAATGAAAAAATGTGGCCCTTAAGATGATAGTAGCCTAGAATATTCTTTTTTAATTCCAACTGCATTTTTTTTATAGGATAAAAATATATTCAAATCTGCATTTTGATATTGTCAAAAGTAGATTACTGAAATGCAGTCAGAATCCAAACAAATTTTCCATTTAATGTTAAGGAGTTTTTGGTAATTCATGCAGGTTTAGATTATGATTTTGGGAGGAAATAATCCATATCTTATAATTGGTTAGTTTCATATGATAAGAAAAATCTCCATATTTAGGATTCCAGCAGCTTCTTAAGTTAACTTCATGCTTCATGGTAAGATATTGAGATCACAACCATTGGTGAGGCTGCAAATGCTGTGCATAAAAAATCCAAAACACAAAGATCGTGGATGCTCAAACTATGGTTGCTGGGTCAGATTCAGCCCATGGAAGGATTCTATCTAGCCCATGGTGAGTTGCATATTTTCTCAAAGGTGGGAACATTTGCATATATCTTCATAACTCCCATTAGCAATATCTCCCATAAGATTGAGAAAGATGATTTGGTTCCTTATGTCTGTTATTAGTTCTAAGTGAATGTTTGGGCAAGTGACTCCTGGTGAGAAAGTACCTGGTCACTGTCCTTGTATCCTAGAGTTGATAAAGTTTGAGCACTCTTGCCTCTTACTCTGTCTATCAGCAACAATAGGCAAACTGTATTCTGCCAAAATGTAGATGAGATCTTGACAATTGAAAAGCAATAGCAACCTGGAAATGAACTGCTTCGTTACCAATTATCTAGTAAGAGAAGATGCAACAGGTCCAAGCATCATTTGCATAAGCAGAGTTGTATTTGCTTCTTTGATTTATGAAGCTATATCTTAATTCAGGAATGAAAATAAAAAGCATACTGATATTTCCTTGGGACAGTATGAAATCCCAGTTATCGTCTACGATGATATAAATAAATATAGGAGTTACTTGTAAGTAAAAGTACAGTAGTATAATTACTACTGTACTTTTATTATTAAAAAAAAAAGAAAAAAAGTATGAGCCTTAGTGCTAGCATCAATACCAGCGCCTACTATTGCCAGTTCTGTCTGTACTCGTATCAAGTGGTGCAAAAAAAAACGCGTAGTGTTTGATGCCTTATGAGATTGACTAGAAATTCTAGATTCGTAATTTTTTTTAATCGCAACTACAAAATTCGTATTCTGAAATGTTCAAGTGCCTAGGTCGTCTGGATAAAAAGCGACTGTCATGAAATGTTGTTATTTTCGAGCATGAGATGGATGCTGTCTTAGCTCCTCAAAAGATTTCTCTCCTTGGACCCATAAAAGCTGTTTTTCACGTTGTGTCCTCTTCATGGTATTCTTAATTGTGTAGTGTCTTTAGGCCTCCGGTGAAAAGGTAAGGTCTGAATTTGGCGCGTTTAGAGCGTAAGTACTAGAGAGGAAAGAGAATATTGAGTTTCATATAAAATCGCGGACTCTTTTATGGAGTCTCTTCCCTCTTCAGCTCATCTTTTAAAACACCCCTTAAACGCAGTGACTTTTCCCATAGAAACAGGGCTGGCGCGAGACTCCTGCGGCTGCAGGGGGTCCCCACAGAATCAAGGGGCCCCAGCCACAATAGGAAGAAATAAATATAGAAGTTAGTAAATATAGAAAGAAGAACTAACTTAGTTAACCTTTTCAGGGATGAATTTTTTTGGAACGCGCTAATCCGGGACTCTCAGCATGGCTTTAGGAGGCGATGAAGTTGTCTTACTATCTTACCTGAGTTTTACGATTTGGTGACGGAACAGAGGGATAACGGGAATCCTGTGGATATCGTCAACTTAGATTTTGCGAAAGTTTTCGATACCGTTTTTCGCAAGAGGTTGTGGACTTCTAAATTGGAGGAGCACGAGATCCAGGGTAGGATGAGTAAGTGGATTAGTGGGCGCATTCAGTTGTGACCCGGATCATGACTCGAGGTTCATGATTCTCGGCAGGTGCGGGAGTAACATTTATTTTGAAGCCTTAATGCAAGTGTTGAACTGAGACCCTCGAGTCATGACTCGGGTCACAACTGAATGCGCCCAGGAACTGGTTGCCGGGAAAAGAGCAGCGAATAAAGGTAAATGGAGAAGTGTCGGTGGGAGTTGGGGTCGCAAGCGGTGTCCTGCAGGGTTCGGTTCTGGACCGCTACTTTTTGTGGTTTGCATTAACCATTGTATGAATTGCAATGCAATTGCATGAATTATGAAAATGCGCAGAAAAAAAAGTATTGTGTCAACTATCATTTAGCTTCAATTTTTTTTTTTTTGGGGGGGGGGGGGCGGGGGACGCAATGGACTGTGAGATACAGGTTTGATGCCATTTGTCATTCTTTGGCAAAATACGCTTTCAGAATATTTGTTCTATTCATGTTCTCAAGTTTTTTTAAAATGCAAATTGGCATCATTATGCAATAGAGGGTTAACGATTTAGATCAAGGCCTAGCGACTAAAAATCAGCAAATTTGCCATGACACCAAATTAGCGGTAGGTTTCTCCATCAGAGGAGAGGAGGTCAGGGCGAAAGCCGAGTAGGATTTACAGCTTTTGAACGAGTGGAGTGAGAAATGGCTCGTGAGGTTTAATAGAAGTAAATGTAAGGGGATAATAATGACGGCTTTTTAGGTTAGGTTAATCGGTCGGTACGAAGCCCCATTCCTTGGTCTCGTCCACCGACGTCATCAGTCCTGCCCTCCTCCCTCATGCAACAGGCCCGAAAACCAGCGGCGACTTAGGGCTCCCTGCAATAGGGCCCGAGGTCCTTCCTGTGAGACCGTAATGTTGTACTCAGGAACCAATTGTAGGATGCCGGAGAGCCCACCATCAGTTTACGCAATAATCGCCCCACCTGCCGCCCTTAAGAACTACCTACGGTACTTCTATCTTGCCATCCCCCTTTCTAGATACTTTTCTTGAATACTCGGTATTGATTATAACACACCTCACGAAACTAAGTAATTCCTCTTCTAAGAAATCGTGCAACCTTGTGCCTGACTCAAATACTTGCCTGTGCCTGACACCACAGCCCATAAATCCAAGCAGTTCCGGGGTTGAAGACCCCATTATAACTCATCCGTACGGAATAAACAATGTCAGGAACGCCTCCAAGTACGAACCAATAATACCTTCCAATACAGTATAAATCATCCAATGATGAATCCCGTTACATCAAAGGGCAGAACCCCAAACTCCAGCGGGAGAAATATCAGGGTAGAGATCGGGCAGACGGCGTTGGAACGACAGAGTAGCGTGCTGCGTGGGCCAGGGTCAAACGGAGGGAAAATCAAGGTACTTTCGGATATTTCCTTATTCCTCTGGAGTATTCTTCCTTTCTGAGTCTTTTACTTTACGGAGTTCCTCCTGGATCGGAGCTTTACCCCGGTGTCCTTGGTGTAGTGTTAGTGTTCCTTATTCTTTCTTTTTGCTTTGTCTCACGGCTTTGAGATCGTGTAGAGCAGTGGTTCTCAACCTTTTTTTTTTTATGTCGCAATCCATCGAGCCCTCTTCCCATATTCATGGGACTCACATATTTAGAAACGTCCAGAAATAATGCAGCCGTGAGACGCGAGAAAAATGATTGACTTTTTTTAAATCCAGAAATAACTCTTTAAGATATTGCTCTTGAGAGCATTGACGGGTGAATCTCCATTATTCCTTTCTGATTGGATGGATGCATTGGCCAGCAGTTCACCGCAAACTATGCTTTATGGTTTAATATCTTCTGACAATGCTACTACAAATCTGGAAGTACAAGGTGATCTAAAAAAAAAATACCTATAAAACGTATGTTTATTTTATATTTTTTTTATTCAGATTTATTCAATCAATTTTAAATGAGTGGCTCTGAAGCAAAAAAATAAAAATATGCACATGAGTTTACGAGGTATATTTAGATCACCCTGTACTTCCATATTTGTAGTGGTTTTGACTTTTTTGCGGGAGGAAAGCCCGACTTCTGTCCCAGTGACTTCACTAGGGGCGCTACCAATAGTACAAGCACTTGCACTCGGATTTATAAGGTAACAATCCATCTGCATTCAAATGGCAAGCCTAAATAAGTAACTACGGGAAATTATAGATGGGATGAACTTCGTAAGCAAAAGAGAGAGAGAATGAGATATACAGTATCAGTAGCAGAGAAACCAAATCGAGAAAATGAACCGGCTTCTGCCAAAAAAAAAAAAAAAAAAAAAAAAAGCGGCACCTTTCACCAAAGNAAAAAAAAACAAAAAAAAAAAAAAAAAAAAAAAAAAAAAAAAACAGCGTCACCTTTCACCAGAGCACCGAAGTATCAGGGGGAATGACGAGAAGTTGACTGGAAATGAATGTTAAGAGTAATAAAGATTATAAAGATATATTTTTATTATTATAGCTGTTTGCCCTATGCTGTCTTCTAATCTGGATTAGTAGATTAGATAGTTCCTGGAAAGTTAAGCTTATGTAATTTTGCCCTGTAGTTCGGTTTGACACGTATGATTGATCTTTTCTCTAATCTCTCGTCTTCTCTAATCGCTACCTAATTTGCTCAATATTTTTTACTTTTAATTCATTTCATTCTCTCGCCGCGATTCACCTGTAAGATGGTCCGACCTACCGATTGAGAACCACTTGTGTAGAAAATCGCTGGCTAGAATCATACTCAATTAGTTTTGATCTTGGTCATTGAGTTTTATTACTGAACTTGCTGAACCGAACCCAAAATCTAAAAATTCCCGTATCATATTAATAACGAGATTTATGAAAGGTGTACAAATTAACAACCAATTTATCCCGACCCTTCTATGTCTTCACTTCATGCTGAACACATTCAATCGTACCCACGAGCCACACGATGCTTCCACAATTTTTTTTACGAACATCTCCAGACAGATACCTAAATTAAAATCTTGCAGCCCACCTGTCCCTTCTGGCTAAATGTGAAAGTGGAGGAAGAATTGAAGGGTTGAAAGGTATAGTGGTCTATCTGCAAATATTTCCGAAAAAGTATAGTTGGTGTAGTGCTCATTGAACCTCGTTCCTTTGATAGAAAATGATAGTTTTTTATTATTATTAGTATTATGTAAAAGATGAAGTGCTCTGTCTATAACTACGTTTTCTCACTTTTAACAAGACGATCACTGGAATATTCACTCTTTCCGTGTGGAGCTCGAGGATATAATTTTTTGCAGGTAGACTACTTTGCTTTTCAACCCTTCAAAGCTTTTTTTTGTCTGTGTGTTTGGTTGATACACGTACCTAATGTCTTGGGTGACAACGCACCAGATCCGTTTAACTTTAAACTGATTTGCTCTCATAATGAGAGTCTATGGGAATAATATGATTTCTTTTAAGCTGATTCCCATAGGGAATTATTGTGAGATCAGATTAGTTTAACTAAAATGGATCCGGTGCATGTCATCCCTTATCTTGTCTCATTTAGCTTTCGTCGGGGTTATTTTGTCGGTGGTAAGGTATTGGGAAAAGTTCACGTCGAGGGTTTTCAATTGGGAATGTTTTGGCGGGGCATATTCCGTCGTGCCACGCCCTGGCAGTTTGCGAGTTTTTCAACAAGAACCTTCAGGCGAAAATCCTTGTCCCAGCGTGGGACGATGCCACTGCCCATACCATCGCTAAACTCAGTCACCGGACGATCCCGGAAGTTCATCGTTGCGAACGAGGAGACCTCACCATACAAGACGTTTGATGAACTTAGTAAGGCCTTCATTAAGCTATTTTCCATTCCCGAATATATTGAAATTTTTCAGGCATTACATTACAACTTTCCAGAATGAGTCAGATGTCCGCCGAAACTGTCAAGTCTTGGGAAACCCGTATCAAAAGGATAGCAGCTAAGCAGGCGCTTGAGCAGTAGCTTCGTAATCCTGATATCCGACTTTTTATTCATTGGAAGGATTGCCTTACTCTTGATAATGCTATTGAGATAGCTGCACGGGAGGAGGTGAGGAGAGACAAAGGCAGACACGTGTGCGGGCCTCCGCACATGTGTCTGGCTTTGTCTCTCCTCACGTGTGCCTCCGCACAGGGCGCAAATTCACGAGGAGTGCTAAAGCGGGATTGAATGTATGAAACAATCATGATTGTTTTAGTTCTCACTCCTTAAGTAAAGTTCTGAAGTAAAAATGAGGTTTTACTTTAGAAAGTCGAAATACCTTCCATTTCGGCGTCATTTTGGACCCTGGGGGTTGAACCTTCTCCTGTCTAGGGAGGTTATTGGGAATTTCTTTGCACAGGACTCTGGAATACTGTAGCTAGGCCCGGCCCTGCAGTGGAGGCATTCTCAGTCTCCCTCATCAAAGAAATTTCGAGCAAAACCGTCAAATCGGAACGATATCGCAAGACGTTGTTAAATAAACTTCGTCGGGCCAATAGAGCAAGTGCCCTGGTTTGTTGACGAAGGGCATCTCCACGCCAACACCCGACCTCACACCACCCATGCAACAGTGGCCAAAATTCAAAATCTTGTTCGGGAGATCCTTGACCATCCTCCATACTGGTGATACCGCTCGAACGATGACATGGTAGAGGGAATGAGAACATGGTGGCACTAGATGCCAATGTCATTTCACAACAGTTCCATAAGAAATCTGGTTGGGCCGTGAGACAAGTGTCTCGATGCAAGTGTCTCCTGGTGAGTTTTTTGAATAAATGCTGCTTGCATAACTAATAGAAATTAATTGGTGTTTTCATTTGACTGACCCTATTAGGAATTAGTGTGGGAGGATATAATACTGATGTATAATTATGTACTAGTGCCATTTTTAAATTTAAATCCTTAGATGAACTCTACTCTCTCAGGGGAATCTCCTCACTCCCCACTTACCCATAAATCGGGGTCATGAGATACTACCAGAATTCTGAGAAATTCTAACCGTTGACCTTACCTTTCTCTTCCTGCAAGAGCCCTGGAGGTCAATTAGGGTAGTGGTGTGCAACACTTACATTCTGAAATTACCCTAAATATTTCTGATTTTTCTATTAAGTTGGTCATTTTCTATTGGTCAAGTTTTCCAAAGGGGCTATTCTCTTCCCACAAAGATAAGTTCCCCATGGCATTGGCAACAACCATTGTCACATACACCATCAAGGTGTGTCTTGAAAGGGGATCTTCAATATGGACTCTTCATAAGCATGAAATACATGAGGGAATTGGTGTTGGTACTGGTACTTTGTTCTCTTGACACCCCTCAGGCCAAGTCTCCTGGACTGGTACATAGAACTTTCAAGGAACATTCTTCTTTCACCATGACTAGTCCCTGTGACCTCAGTGCTGCTCTATTCCAGGCTAGTGAATCTCTGGATAACATCCTTCAATCTACTGCAGGAAAGCTAGGTACTGCATTTTTTTCACCAGTCAATATGTTCTACCCTTTTTGTCCGTAGATGACTATTTTGTTTTTAAAATCTTGATATGGTGTTTCTATATTCATGGGAATGGAGATGGAAGTGAGGAGGTGGGTGTATCAAAAGGAATCTTTGCTCTTTTTGAATCAGTCAATACATACAAGAATCTGCTTTGCAGGTTTGTGTTGAATTTGCAACCTTGTTTCAATCACAAAGGTCTGCAAAAACCATGCAGTAATGGCAGCCCTGCATTGTTTTTTTTATATTATAGGCTCCAGATGACACACAGAAGTGAATTAGAGAGACTGTGCTCCAAGAACTTCTCTAAGCATGAAGTTAGAGAGGCATTTGACAGTCTCCTAGAGTCTGAGGTATATGTCTCTTTCATGATTCATGAGTGTTCATTTGGCCCTTTGTTGCATCTGTTTCTTTCTTTTTTTCTTTTAAACTCTACAGAAACTGTGGGATGAATACTTACTGTCCTTGGATAGAAGGCTGCAGGAGGTCTCTGCACCAGAGAATTCTCTGGTTGTAGGTTCCACCATACCAGAACATCTGACCCTCATTCATGCTGACTCTGATGAACAAGTCTCCATTAGAAATCTGTGCAAGCATCATGATTTCATGCTCTTTATTTTGCTGCGACATTTTACTTGACTTCCTTGACGAGATCATGTGGCTGCAGTTGCTGCTTCTATGGTTAGTGCTGGAAAATTTGTAGAAGTCATTCCATATTACTTCTTTGTTCAGCCATAACATTTTGCTAGGTATTTCTCTCAGGAGGAGTTTTCAAAGGAAAGCTGCAGTATTGCTGTAGTGTCATTTGGGTGGAAAGAAGGAGCTCTTCGTTGGAAGCATGAGACCAATAGCCCATTTCAAATGTTAATTGACTCTGATAGAAATTTTTATCATGCACTTGGACTACAAAGATCCATCTACAAGGTATGTGCATAAACTTTTTTAATGGCTATCCTGGTACTGAGGAATGGCATCTGTCTCATTTGTACTGCAGGTATGGAACCACAATGCAATGGTGTACTATGCAGAGCAGATGATTGCAGGGAAATCTTTGGCCAAGCCCTTTGAGGGTGGAGAAGATGATGTCCATCAAATGGGAGGAGATTTCATTGTGGATTCTTTGGGCAAACTTGTGTACTGTCATCTCAGTCAGACTTCACTCAACAGGCCTTCCTCACATGAACTTCTTTCCTTTCTGCGCTCTTCAGGCTCTCATGTACTATAAAGCATTTTCTTTTAACTTTATCATTAGATGAAGATATTCTGATAGGAAGAAGTGGTAGTGTTATAAACACAATTATGAAAAAAATTTCATTAAATGTTTAGCACTTGCTCACAAGATATAAAAGAAAACTGAATCAAAAGAGCAAAGTGGAAAACACGAAAGTCATTTTAAATGGAGCATCAAATGGTCAAAGAAGACATGAATCAGATGAATCAGGTTTGATGACTGAAGGAGAGGTAGCAGCAAGCATTTAAAATAAATGGTCACCTTGGTCTCAATCATTAAACTAAGATTCTTTAGTTTTTTGTGAACAAGTCCTTAAACTTAAGACAGGAAAGAGGAGGAACTTCACCACCCTTCTCAGAGCAGCATCATATTTCATTTAGACAAATTACGTTTCTAGCCTGATCATCAAGGTGACATCTAATGGAGTGACATGAGAGTATCTTCATTAATGGACTCAGGAAGCTATCAATGACAGATGAAGATAAAGTCCTCTTTACAGGAAATCTCCATCTTGATGTGAAAGTACAGCATTTCTGAGTTCATAAATGATGCAGGTACATCATTATTCTTTATACCTACTTTTAAAATATCTTTTTCTGGAGGAGGTAAATTGCCTCCATCACATCTTCATTTTAAAATTTGGAATTAACCCATTTGAATCTACAAGCATACTGGTGCACATTGTTTTTATTTTTTTTCCAGCTCTTTCTTCTAGATGTCAGGCAGTGTAGCTGGGTGAAAAACTTCTCTTGAATCTATGCATTTTTTGTGTCACAGTGTGTATAAACTTCTTTTCATTAGAATCTTACAGGATTCAAAGGGATGCAAATGGGTTGAACAACATTCCCCAAGTGATTACATTGTTGAATTGATAGGAATGAGAACAGCTCGCAATGCTATAATTGTTTGTTGAAAATATTGTTTTGCATTATGTATCTGCTTATGCACAATCTGCCTTTTCTTCCACTGCATGGCATATTTGAGGCTGCTGTTCTTGCAAGGTGTTACATTTCCTGCTTCTTAGAGATAATGGATCAATTATACTTTAAAATAAAAAATTCAGGTTTCTGAAATGGTGTATGACATAATACATTGTCATTCACTCTGGTTGTGACTAACCCACAAGGCATCTCATAGGTGGAATGATAAAAACAGGTTGGTTGAAGTTGGAGCAGTTGTGCAGTGTTGTCTATGGGCTTAAATGTGAAATTCCCTGTTGCTTAATACCCACAACATTCATTGGTCACCTGTTGCAGGCTGCAGATAATGAAGACTGGATTTGAATGTTATATTTATGTCCACTCAAAATTGTCCTGATCTTATCTGAAAAGGGTGATGGTAATTCATATTGATGAGACCCTTAGTGGAGCAAGGGCTTTCATCAGTTCACAAAATTGCCTTCAGCTAAATTTTGACAAGAGGGGAAGATGAGCAGTTGTCGGGGTTGTCAACTCCTGTCTTCCTCCCCACAATTGAGAACACTCACTTCTTAAGCATTTGGCAGCTATGGGAAGTTGCATCCCATTTCAAGCCTGTGAACAGAACTCCTCCAATGAACGTTGCTTTGGGTACCCCTATCAGGAGTCAAACAGCCCAGGTAGTGCTGAATGTGTACTCATATTTGTGAAAGAAGCAGAGATGAGATCTCCCTTGGAGAAGATAACCTCTTACATTCTTATCATTGCACGTTTATCATGAGCTTAAATAATGTAAAGTGTAAATTTAAGTCTTGTATTAGATGCTACAAACACAATCTTCATGAAGACTTGGCAATCCAAGAACCCTGTCTGTCATCCTGGGGCTGAATGACACCTGAGATCAAATGTTTATGATCTTGCCAAGACTTCAAAGCAGCTGTGCTCCTTTGACCCTGTCACTGGGTCCAATAAACAGGGCAGTTTTGAACAGACATAAACTGTAGCAATCTATTTTTTCAATGGAAATTTTGATGCAAAATAAATGTCTACGTATGATGCAGGTCTTTTTTTTATTTATAAATTTCCCATAGTAGAGATTGTTGATGGGAAATGAGAACTAATCTGACATCAGGGCCTCACTATTTTTAATGATCAGGTTCACCAATATCACAGGAAAGACATCACTCATAAATCCAATGGATTCTCCATTAATGATTCTCCTGTAGCTTCTTATATTTGAATTTAAAAAAGCAACCACTAAACTTGCATTAATCGATTTGGCTACATTCACCAATCTACTTGCTTACTGTCAAAAATGTCTCCATGAACTAGCTGCACAGAGAGCATTATTTGTTCCTGTTGATTGAGGGCAATTAATTTTCTCAGCTGGGAGAGGCTGAAGCAGTCCAAAAACAGCAAGAGATGAGTGCACAAATCAGAAGAGCAACCAGAAAATAAATTTGCATTCATCTTGGTCCCAGGGGAGCTGCTGCAAAGAGCAAAGTATAGCCCTGCTGAAACAGCTGCCAGTGTGTAAACTTCATCTTGTGATGATTTCAAGAGAAGACGTTGCAGTACCTGCTATCCATGAGTATGCTTATTCAAGAATCACATTTTCATCCTGCAGAAGTCGCATGGGGTATTTTATTTCCAACAGTATTCTGTGGGGTATTATTTATTTATAATATAATAATTATGTGGCAAATCTCTTGTATAGCACTAACATGCAATAGAACATATAGATGAACAAATATGCATTGCTTTTATTTTATTTTTATTTCCCAAACAATGATTGGAAATTTACTCCCCCTTGCGACTACTAATATGAGGTAAAACCATAAGATTACTGAAAGGATAGCAACACACCAGCAGTGTTCTCAATGACAAAACATGCCAGCTTGCTGCCAATTACAGAAGTCAATATTGGGAAAGGATTTATTATACTGAATGCAACAGGGAGCATGCAAAAGTGCCTGGTCAAAGAATCCATTTTAGTATTATACATCTTGGAGGTGAAACTACCAACATCATTATATACTTTTAACTCTTCATGAGGAATTTCAGCCATCTGATTAGGATTTACTCTCACAAACTCCAGCAGCTCTTCCTCTTTAATGTCTTCTACTTTGTTATTGTTTGCCCCTTAAATATTCCATTCTGTATTTTAGTATTGGATTAGAAACTGCAATAAATAAATGCTTGTTAACTATTGCACAAGAAATTTAGGGTTGAACATAAGAATCTACACAGATAGTGCAGGGACTTCACTGGTATTTTCATGGACGACAGATGCCACACTCTTGGTGAATATGCTCATCTGCTGACAAGGATTGTACCAGGAACTCTCCAAGGTCCCACTTGGAAATGACTCGACCTGGACCCTTACCATGCTCTACTTGGTACTTTCCATTTGTACCAGGTTCATCTGCACAGTTGATGAAAATAAGAGATAATATTGTAGATGATTGCACTCTTCAAAGATCTTTAGAAAGTGTGGTTCTATAACTCACCTGCAATATGTGGGGGCAGGACTGCAATCCATTCTCTGTTAGATGCCTTCAAGTACTGAAGCATGCGATCATGGTCTTCAGTCAAAGCCTGGAACACTGATGGTACTTTGCTTCTCTCCCAGAAAAGGAATGCTGGAAATTCCCAATCAATTCCAATTATTCAACCAAAGAATCACTCATTAGTGTAAAAGCACTGAATGTCTTGATTAACCACTTATCTGGTATGCCTGTAAAGTTTACAGGTTGGTGCACATGTCATATCTTGGCAATCCTGTAACTTTCATGTTTCCTGGGTGAAATGAAGTAGTTGATCATATGTTCCACAAAGGGCAAAAGAACATAAGTAATTATCACCCCTCTTACTATCATCTATAAGGCAAGGGTAAAGTTATTTTTACTCTCTGACAAATGAACATTAGTAAACAGTCATGGATGCCTTGAGAGTGTGTTCAGTTAAAGACCTTGACACCCCACAGAGTGTGTCCAGGAAGACAAGATACATGAAGGGAATGTGTACTGTGTGGAATTGTATCTCTGCACATGCTTTGAGCAATATTGTGCTCATAGCTTAATAACATGCTTTGAGCAAAACCATACAAAGCAGAAACAGTAAATTTCAGGTGAATCTTTTCCTGGGGGAAGAAAGGGGTGGTGTAAAAATACTGTCATACAAACTGCTTACATACAGAAATGCCATAAGACATGCAGAAACATCAGTGCCTGGTTTCATAACAGTAATAAGGAAGTAAAAACATTATTATAGACTTTCCACCTTCCACCCCTTTTTACCCTGGAAAAAACTGCAGGGCAGGGGGAGCACCAGGTGTTTGAAAACTTGCCAGATAAGGGGTTCAGGACTTTTACATTATTTCACTCCTTATCCTCAATCCTCACCTGAAATGCAAACAGACACCCTCTTGATATGAGCTTTTTCCATTTCATTCAAGATGTTTTGAAGCCCTGTTGAGAGGTCTGTTGTTGGACCTGTGAGATGTAAAAACAGCACCGAACATTCTCATATAGTTTAGAAGTGATTCAAAGGGTGCATTATTATAGAAAGTTTGGTTGTAGATTCTCAACTTACTGGTGTCATTTCGTGTTCCAAGGGCTACAACAACTCCATCTTGTCCTTCTAGGCATTTAGCCACATCTTGTGTATTGAGGACATCCCCTTGAACTATTTTTACCTTCCCTTTCAGTTCTTCTGGAATCTTTTCAGGATCTCGAACAAAGGCTGTTGTCTCCAGACCTGCATGAAGACATAACTTTTTGCCTCCATCTAGAATACCAATGATGTTTCATATGCTAACTTGTGAAGCTTCATCTGTACTAATTCAATTGAGGAAAAATAAGAACCTGGGTAATGCTCATTCTACCAGTGAAACTCTTTTGAGTTAAGAGCACCTGTCACAAGCATTACATGTAAAGCAAGTATAGTAGGACACAAAGAAAGAAATAGGGGGGGGGGAGGGGGTTTGGCTCAAAGGAGCAATTATCATTCAATCAATTACAAGGGATGATCAAAAAGTTCAGAGACTAATTTTTTATGATGTTATGATGACTCTTTCCAACTACTTATGATTATATCCTTCAAAGTAGTCCTCTTCGACATCTACACAAATTTTCCAGAGTTTCTTCAGCCATTGGAAACGTTGCTGACACTTAACATTTGGAATCACCAAGAGTGCTCATGCCATGTTTATAATTTTGATTTGAATGCCTGAAATCTCCTTCTTTTCAGCACACTCTTTAGCTTATGGAACAAAAAGGAATTACTAGAAGCTGGGTTTGGCAAGTTGGATGCAGGGTAAAATTGCAGGGTAGGTCAGAAACTGCTGAAACTGGAAAATGAAGGAAATTCCAGGAATTTACTGTAGTGTTAAGAACATGCAACAAGCGCTGCTGGTGATTCCAAAAGACACGTGTCAGCAATGATTCCAGCATCTGAAGAAACTGGGAAATTTTTGTAGATGAAGAGGACTACTTTGAAGGATATATCCATCAGTAGTTGGAAAGAGTCACCACAGAAAGAATTTGTTGTAGGATAAATACAACCACAAAAAATTTTTACAGTTGAGTCCTCTTTAAGAAATTACGTATTAGTTTTTAGTAGTGCTATTAGATGTCAACAGAAGCTTCATGCTGACTCATACATCAAGTCAATTGCATGAGCAACACTTAATTTTTTCCTATGAAAGGAGGCATTACCAATTATGCTTCTGACTAATTCATTCATGCCTCATTCTCAGCAACTTGCCAGAAATGACTTATTATGTATATTCCTCACATTCCACTAGTAATTTTTGAAGACCTCAACAGATTTGGCATTAGCTCAATTATTGGCTGCAGGAAGTGAATTGAGGAGAGTGCCTTTGAATGAGAAAACTTTAAAATTCTCTTCACCATCTAAACCCAATCCACAGGCTCATTTTGGGGGGCAGTGAGGTAAAACCTGGTTTGATTCCTCATTTGAGGAGTTATTAAATGAGGAATCGAGCTAGTAATGACTAATAGAAGGTTATTGTGTTCAGCCTCAACCAAGAGCACTTTAGGGTCATGATCTGTTATGGCTACAAAATAGGCTTTAAACCAATAAGTTCTCAAAAAAGATGGGTAATAAGATTTGGTTAAGATGCCCTTCAAATGTACCAGTCAACTACTGTGTTGCTATGGAGGAATGATGAAACTTGAAGATGACTGATTGCTGCAAGCAACCTCAGAGGTTGAGAACCAAGGTGAAAGTGGGATGAGAGAGGCAGAAGTGACCTTTATCAAGATAGACACTTCAATCATTCAAGGCATTTATCTGTAGCCCAAAAGATGGAGCAAAGGTATTGGAGTCAACCAATATGCTTCTTGTCCGCTAAAAAGCAAACTACCTTGAGTAGACTTAGTCATCCTATTTGTAGATCTCCTTGGTTCTTTAATTCTTCCTGTCAAACATTTAATTTGAGAATTTGGCAAAAGCATCAAGATTTATCAAGAAGCCTATACTTAAAAAAGAAGGATATGCAAGATTAGCATTAGGGATTCAACTATACTTTTCCTCTTCTTGATATGGTATGAAAGGGAGTCTCATGAAATGCAAAAAAACAGCATTTATTTGCAGCACCCTGTACAGTTGAGAGATATGCAATTAGCTTCAATGCAGTGAAAATTATGCTAACAGCAAGAGACTGATAGCTGGCAATGCATTCTGAGAGATGATCATGCATTTCTATACCTCAAGGGAAGCTCTTTCCGTGCAAGTCAGAATTAATTATGATGATGAAAGTCCTGCTCACACCCACCTCAAAGAAAAACCAGACACAAAGAAAAAATCACATATACTGATATTGCATTCACATATCATCACACGTATTGAAAGGTCTCTCACTCCCCCCTGTATTTGGGTGGTCGTTTTTCCTTGAAGGCAATTAATCCTTCCAGTCGATCCTTTGTGGGAATCACCTGAGCATAGCACGCTTCTTCAAAGGCTAATCCTGCATCTAAGTCCACTTCTAGACCTCTGTTTATGGCAGCTTTTGCCATCCTGACACTCACAGGCCCATTTGAGACTATTTCTCTAGCAATATCCAATGCTTTTTTATATGCAGCATCACCTTGATCAATTTGATCAACACTACAATTCACCAGCCCCAACTCTGCAGCTTCTTCTCCATCTATAATCCTTGCAGTAAAGATGAGTTCCTTTGCTTTTGCAGGACCAATCAATCTTGGTAGCCTCTGAGTGCCTCCAGCACCAGGAATGATGGCCAATCGAGTTTCAACAAGGCCCATCTTTGCAGAGGTTGAAGCAATGCGCATGTCACAAGCAAGAGCAATTTCTAACCCACCACCCAATGCAACACCATCCAGTGCTGCCAATGTGGGCATTGGCATATGATGAAGAGCATTGATGAGCTGACGTGCTCTTGATACAAATGGTCCCACTTCACTTGGATGCATCTTGACCCTCTCTTTTAAATCTGCCCCAGCACAGAATACTCCAGGAACAAGACTCCTCAGAATAAGCACTCTCACATCTTTGTCAAAGCGAAGTTTTTCAAAGTATTCTTCTGTCAGCTGGATGAAATTTTTGCTAATAGCATTCCTAGTACTTGGTCTATTAAATCCAATCACACATGTTCCAGTTGTGTCACCAGTGAGATATTCTAATGTGACATCCTGAGACTGGTCAGTTGCTACTGATGCAGCAAAATGTGGTCCCCTTGTGGAGAAGAGTCTCTGAGAATGGCTGACTTGAGCCAGAGAATTTCTCCACATCAAAGGTTGCAATCTGGTCAAATTCATTCTGGTAATGCTGACTGTGCATGCCATATTCACTTATAAGGTTTGAGTTATAATCATCTAAACTGCAACATGAACAAAAGCCAATTTATGATGCTGATTGGATCAAATGGCTGGCCTAGTTTTAATTTCAAGTCATAACTTACTGTGATTAACTTTATACAGGACTATTCCCAAAGAAGCGATGTACCTTTCCAGGTGAAAGAAGGCATCATGCATTCAAGAATTTTAGCAAAAGGCAGACCTCTAAAAATGATCCCTAGGAAGTCATCAGTCTGTTAACTCAGGTCTGATTCAGATTCTAAATAAGGATAATTAGGCAGGGGGGTTGGTAATGCTCAGATAGGTGAAATGGAATTGGTACAGGGGTCATCAGGCAAACTTCCCTCCAGTCATACCTCATCCCATTGTACAAACTTTGGGTATTTCTCTTTCATTCACACTTGATATTCCTGCATAATCTTTACATCTCCTAAGGACTCATGTTCATCTTCATATCCTCAACACATTAATATTTCCTTCTTTATCTATATTACTCTTCTTTTTGGATACACTAAAAAAGGGAGGCATAAAAACTCTTTGGCTCCTTCTCTTAGTGGAACTGAGAACAGATGAATGTCATGTGGTGTGCATTCTAACAAAAGCTATACACCTTGAATATGCATGACCTCAGGGTAGGCCAGCCTAATGCCTCTGTCTCAGACTTGTCCAGGAAATGCAATATCAAAAAAATTGAAAATATCCTATCATGAAGAACCAATAAATAACTTCTATGGAGCACAAAATCATATCTGCAAATGACAGGTTTTAGCATCAACTGGTGGAGGCCTTTTTTTTTAACATTTTCCATTGCAAAGTTTACATGAACTGCTTCAAATTTACATGCTTGACAACTTGAAATAGGATGCTTCTTCTCCGACATTGACAGCCATACCATAGAATGATTTTTTTCCACCCTAGTAACTAATGTGATTATGATTAGTCAGTAATCTGAGTGAATCTGAGTTTTTAACAAATGAACATGTCTTACCATGTACCTATTTCATACAGAAGGCATCTTGAATTCTATGCTACTTTAGATATAAATTATGCAATCCCAACTATGGCAGGAACATCAGTGGTAGAAAAAAAAAAGCTGCACAAGAAATTCTAAATAATGCTTAATCTAACTCATTTTTCATATTTTGTGCTTTCACATGCAGAAACAGGTATCAGTAATCAAAGGTGTGACGCAGGTATCTATGATAATGTCAGACATTCTGATGGAACTGAATGGATGGGATTTAGGCTTGATAGTGCTATTAAGAACCTGTTCTCAACACAAGGGTGTAGAATTTGGGTTCCTGGAATGGCATTTCCCATGGATTTAAACACTTCCATGGAAAAGAAAAAATTCCCAGGGTTTATGGTTGTATCCCAGATGTGACCATGCCTGCCTCATACATGTTGGAAGTCTGAGCCTGCTGCATCACTTTGATAAGAGTCTAAAGGAAGTAAGGGAAAGGAACAATTTTTTTCTAACCCTAATAAAGGTACCTAATATTTTTGGTACCCAAAATATGCAGCACCCATGTCCTCAGATCTTACTTTCTCTCTCAGGAGCTGGTTAGCAGCCACAAACTTGATGAGCATATTTTTTGTCTTTACCTAAATCCAGGTCTAACCTCCCAAGTCTAGCTTTTTTGGGGGCCTTTTTCATTCCACACCCAACCATTTGGCATCCTAACTGATCTAAACCTCAGCTAAAGTGAATGAAAATAAAAAGGGACAAAGTGAGGAGGCTGGAAGGGATCAACCCATAGCTTACAGGACATATTTCTTATCTGTCTTCCCTGAATAGGTCTACTTATCCTAATTCCAGTTTCTAGTTCGCAAACTGGAAGTGGTTTTAGGGTCGATTCGAAAATGTATGAAGTCAATCAGGTCCCTACTTTAGCACTACTGAGTGGATGCTCATTCGCTGGTTCATTTGCCCTTCAGGCAGACATTTTCCCACTCGAGTCAGACACTTGTGCATGAAGGAAAGACATGGTAAGGAAAGAGAAACTTAGCCATCGAGTACAAGGGGCTAGAAATGAGTCCTATGTATATGCATGATAGCCTGGACGGGAATGGTGCGTGATTCTCGTACCCTTTTTCACTGCGGCGTGAAGGCAGCACAAGCCAGTTTGCCCAGTCGAACCGAACACAGCGATCCGTTTCATGGACGGCGCCATGCTATAATTTACGATACGATACTACCATGCAAATGAACTCACCGCCAGCGGTTCTCAATCTTTCCTGTTTCTGCTCTCTCAATCTTTTCTTTTCAACCGTTTCCCTGACGACACATTTCGAGCAGCGATATATCAGCGGCACCCTTCCACATCAACGGATCTCGGAATTCATTCATGAAAGGTTAATTTTGAACTATTAATTAGCAAGATAATAACTTCTAGATGATTAACTGGATAGCTTCATTGTTTATTTCACATCAATGCGATGACCGGGCCTGCCTCTGGTTATCCCGAAAATCAAGATACGGCTCAAATTTTGAGGTGGCTCCATGCTGGTCAGTTGGTATGCTTAGATGGGACTGGAACCATTGGCAGTGATTCATATGGAGCTCGGGGACTCGGCCCCCCCCCCCCCAAAAAAAAAAAAAAATAAAATAAAATAAAATAAATAAATAAATAAAATAATAATAATAATAAAATTGGCAGGAGGAGCTCAGTCCCCAAATAAATTTTGGAGATGGGGTTCACCCCCTCAACAATTTCAGATTTCTTTTTTCTTTTAGAACTGACGAGAATTTTAGTCCCAAGAAAATATTTCATTTCCATCCGACAGTTCTTAGCGTCGGAGTGGGAGGTACAGTTGGTTCTGGACTCAGTGGGGGAAAAAGCAAACAGTTTCTTAGAACAATAAGATGTTTAATGGAGTCAATAGACCTTCAGCTCGGCTTCCTGACCTTGTGGCGAAAAAAAAAAGCTATTTTACCATAAGGGGGGAGGCGGATAGGGCTAGAGCCGAGCGAGATTTAAGTCTTTTGGACGAGTGGAGCAAGAAATGGCTCATGAGGTTTAATAAAAGTAAGTGTAAAGTTCTCCACGTCGGTCGAAACAACGGTAGGTCTCTCGACACGTTCGGCGATGTTAAATTGGATGAGGCAAACGGAGAGAGAGATTTAGGTGTTTCTATCGACGAGGACCTCAAATTTTCCTCGCACGCGCAAGCGACGGTGGCCAAATGCAATAGGATTCTAGGTTACATTCGTCGGTCGGTTGCAAGTAGGACATCTCGCGTTATTCTTCCGTTGTATGCGGCGCTGATAAGACCCCAGCTGGAATATTGCATCCAGTTTTGGAGGCCTACAAATAAGGGCGATCTGTTGGCGCTCGAGGGAGTACAGAGGAGGGCCACAAGAATGATTAAGGAGGTTAGGGGACTATCATACGAGAAGCGTTTAGAAGTGTTGAGACTGTACTCGCTCGAACGAAGGTTAAGGAGGGGCGATCTCATCCAGGCTTTCAAGATAATTAAAGGAATAGATAATGTCGAGTGTGGTAGGTTTTTCCAGTTTGATGACAGCAAGAGAACGAGAGGTAACCGACTTAAGTTGCGCAAACCGCAGGTGCGGCTCAGGTCGAGACAGGAATTCTTTACTTGCAGAGTGGTGAACGCGTGGAATGCGTTAGATGACGAAGTAGTGGCTGCCCCTTCTGTAACTATCTTTAAGAAGAAACTAGATGCTTTCATGGAGAGGCAAAAAGGTGGGGGGCAATGTTGACCGTAGGTACTAGACAGTAAGCAACTAGGATAGTCAAATAAAAAAAAAAATAAAAAAACAAAAAACAAAAATACAAAAATATTTAGCTTTAAGAGGGTTAGGCCTACCCTAAAATTAAGGAACGCTCGACCTCGACACGTGATATTGAAATGGGCGAAATCGCCTCTTGATATCACTAACTATCTTATTCTTGAATCTTGACCCAAGGAGGCTGAAGGGAAATTTGTGGATTCTCTCTCGGGGAAGAGAAAGGATTTCAATGATGTGAAGATTAAAACAGCCCAGTTGCCGGTTTCTTCCTTTTTTCGTCGTCAGTGCAATTTGTTCAGAGAATGTTGCCAATTTCCTCATAGAAAATGAATGAATTACAATAAAACTGTTAGCTAGAGGTACGCGAGAGGTGAAGGGGGAATCCAACAACCCTAAAAATGTGACATGTTTCTAAACATGTCATGTGGCAGTTTTCTCAGAACTTTCCCTTAACCTAGTTGGTGAATGATGATAAGAGGATTAGCCATCCCTCTGCTGTGAAGTGCCTCCTCGAAAGTGGGCTTTTACCCGATACATGGACTAGACTGAATCTCCAATTCTCGAGCCATTCTTCAGTGACGAGTCATGGGTGTCCATTGGTGCCACGGGGTGATTGTAAAGTTCGTCGTCAATAACCCCCGGGTAGACCTCACAAGAAATGTTGAATGTGAAGATTCTTCCAGTTCGTGCAATTGCTCCAATGTAGGAGGGAAAAAGTCAGGGGAAGTTGAGATGCGGCCCTTTGTTTCGTACTCAGTCGAAGGTGGCAGATGAAGCTTCCTTCATCTGCCCCCTTCGACTTTCAACAGAAGTGGTGCGAGTGTTTTGCCTGATTATCATTCGAACGTTCCATAGGGAAGGGGCGAGCATCCGAGAAAAGGCCTCCTAATGTCCTCAAACGAGAAAGACAGTGCAGTTATAAGTGTTGGATTCAATTATTGGAAGAGCTTTGGAAGAGTTTTCCGCTCATGAGAAGACCAAATGTCACATGCCAGGAGGCATGTACGAAGCTCCATGCACTGTTTTCAAGGGTGAACGTGATGGGTGAAATCAATGTGGCTCATAGGGCCGATCTCCTTCGCGCCAGAACATTAGAGATTATTTTCATTACTTTGAAGTTACCTGGACGGCAAGGACTAGCTATCCGTGGTCATGAAGACAATTAAGGAAACTTCCTTCTGATACTGAAAGTGAGGCCCGGTGATCGTGAAAAACTGCCCTATCGGCACAACGATGTTGTCTCAACGTTGCCCCAATATTGAAATGAAACAGTTCAACGTTGAAGAGGTGTTGTTGCTGTGTAACGTCGTGTCAATGTTGAATTGTCAACGTACAGGCATTATATAACCTCCTCCTTTATCCATAGTATGAAAAAGCGTTAATTAGCCGATGAGATTGAGTATATATTCGATAACCCCACGGAGAGTACCCAAATGGTATGTTACAAGCTATTGAGTACAATTATCTCATGGAAAGGACCCTCAAAGCCTTATTTCCTTTATTGCATCAGAATTCAAATTGAGTACTTTCATGACTCAGCTCTCTGTTCAGTAAAAACCGACCCCGCAAGCATGTTTTCGCGCTCTATCATCTACGGATGAGCTCGAGCGAATGCATATATTTTCTGTTGATATGATGTGGTTAACTCCACGTAGAAACAACATTGAGAACACGATAAAAACTAATTTGCGCTTAATAGCCTCTGAACGACTTCCCTAATTCACAAGTTGTCACCAAATGCTGAAAATACAGTTAATTACGAATAACTAGCATTTCATCGACAAATCTCTCTTCAACCAAGTCTCAAAGTTTCAACCTTTTCTCAATATTGACACAACGTTGTTATGCCAAATAGGTGAAGGAGTGGTTGAACCGAGGACATCGTGGCGACAAATGGTTGAGCAAAGATGCATAGAATGAGATTCTCTTAATAAT